GAGAGAAAAAATGTATATAATTTTTGAGTAAAGTAGTAATATGTTGGATGAGTGTGTTGAGGGCAATTCGCCCCCACTTACTGTTGTTGTTATTTTACTCCAGTGTGCATTGTACAGAAAAAAATATTGTGTGGAACACAGTTAAATAAAGTGAGTAAAGAATGACAACAGAGCATAGAGACATGTCTATGATGATTCTGAGGTGTCCTCTATTGAACCTGAAGATAATTGTGTTCAGTTGGTGCAGAGACGAAGATGTGAGGTGAAACACTATCACTTGGGCCTTGTGGTTTCGAACTGCTCCTCCAATCTGAAGTCACTTCCTGTGGTTGTTGACAAGTGCTATGTTCCAATTGTATTATCTACGTATCTGTCCTTCCTCCCAAAGTGTTAACTTATTCACTTCCCTTCACTGATTTGAAATAAATATGGTAGCATGTGGCCTAGCGGTTAAGAGCTTACTGGTCCCCCGTGGGAATCGAACCCACAACCAACTGAGCTACACGGGACCACACTACTGTGCTTTGTAACATCAGAGGTTGAATTGGAGATTGTCAGAGTATGTTTACACAATAATCAATCATTCAAAGGCATTGGAAAAATATAGCCTACCAAGACACTCATGTTGGAGATTAGATTAGGTCGCCCACTTTACTGGAAACTTGTATCTGTCACTGATCAAACAACATAAATGCCACAACCATCGTCTCCATTAGCAAGTGTTGATGTGTGACAAAAACATCCTGCTGCATGTAGCTAACAAACTGTCAATACTGTAACCGACAAAGTTAATCAGATTGAATCCCGGCCTTATTGTTTTATATTGAATACCCACTAAAGAGAGTATTCTCTTATCTTATTCAATACAGTAAATTAATCAGGTTCACCGTTCCTGGCACATTTTCACAGTGGAAAGCTTATGTGCCAGTTACCACAATTGATCAACAATTACATTGCTTGTTGTAATTCAGTGAAGCAACACTGTAGGCTATCTAGCTTTTTATTAGTTTGTTATTGGTTTTACTCGTCTTTGTATTTCGTTTTTTGGATGAAAGTGAAAATTGTGTGATTAATTTCTGTTAATTATAGTATTATAGATGTTATGTTGAAATAAAATGTAAGATTTGAACATATTGTTAAAGGGCCTTGTTTGTGTACTGTAGTGAAAATAATGAAATTAATAAGAGATTTCAGTAGCACTTTACCTTAAAGCACAATATAAATGGGTACTAATATGATAATAACATGGAAACTTACTTTAAGTCTACTGTATTTGATAACCATATTAATTTCCTGGTAAAAAATAACCTATGTAAAAAATAAAATAAACATTCCATCCCTGATTTCATTTAATTTCTGTCTAATTTGATTGTTTCAAGGTAAAAAGTAGCCTATACATAAACAGAAGTATGAAGAGCTTGTTTTGCCATAGGCCTACAATTCTACAAATGCAAGAACAATAAGCTACCATTATGGAATTGTCTTGTCTGCCCATCACTGTCATATTCTCAAATTTGATGGCAAGATCCAAGGGGGGCGGCAGGTAGCCGAGCTGTTAAGACGCACAGCAAGCGGTACCGGAGCGCCAAGTCTGCCGCCAAAAGTCTCCTGAACAGCTTCTAACCCAAAGCCATGAGCCACAGTTAATCAAATGGCTACCTGGACTTTCTGCTTTTCACCCCTACCTACATGTAGGCCTATTAGTACTTCAATCAATCGCCTAACCAAACTTACATGTACATATGACCTCGATCACACCAATTACCTCTTACCCCAGTACACTGACTCGGTACCAGTAGGCTACTCCTTGTATATAGCCTGTATATAGCCTTGTTATTGTTATTTTATTGTGTTATTTTATTTCATACCATGGCATTGTTGAATACTTGTACATGATTGGCTTGAAGGGCATTCTAGAGCATGCATTATTTCCCTTTATAAACTGGGTGGTTCGAGCCCTGAATGCTGGTATATCAGACCATATACCACAGGTATGACAAAACATGTATTTTTACTGCTCTAATTACATTGATAGACAGTTTATAATAGCAATAAGGCACCTAGGGTGTTTGTGTTATATTGGCAATATACCACGGCTAAGGGCTGTATCCAGGCAGTCCGAGTTGTGTTGTGCATAAGAACAGCCCTTTGCCTGGTATATTGGCCATATACCACACACCCTCAGGCTTTATTGCTTAAATAACTCATGGTATATCCACAAGGTAGAATTCAATGGCTATAGTTCTTTCTTACATGTTCTATGTTTGAGCTGCTTTTGAAAGCAAAAGTCGAATTGAAAACAATGTCATTCTTGAATTGGATTTTCATAAAAGCATCCTAGGACTGATGGTTTGGTTAGCTAAACTAGCAAGTCTGTTTGGTTGGTTATCAAGGCAACTACTGTATCTATTAAACTTTCTATCTTTTAAACTTTCTAGCTACTTTAGTGGAAATTTTTACCGGCAAATGAACACATTTCTAGCAGCAAATGTGTTACATTATAGCCATGATATAAAAAGGATAATCAACACGGGGCTTTATGCGTTCTCTTGAAAATAATGCAACTCTGTGGAAGGTTAGTTCCACTCCGCTAGCATTGGCATGAAACACACCTTCCACGTCATTTATTATTTCCCAGGGAACCCTTAGGCCTAAATTAAATGTTCATTAAATGTGCTGAAATGTATAAATACATATTTTCACTTCGTCATTATGTGGTATTGTGTGGAGATGGGTGAGAGAAAAAATCAATTTAATCAATATTGAATTCACGCTGTAACGCAACAAAATGTGGAATAAATTGTTGTTTTTTCAATAAACATTGGAGACTAAATATACTGTAACTTACATGTTGTCAACAATCTAAGCCAACCCTGTCTGTTGTTCTCCATAGTTGCGCACTCATCAGTTTTGTTGCTAAACAACCAACCTGTGTTGTCTGTTTTGTATTTTCTTAGATCATCTATTTGATTTAGCTGTGCTTGCTCCGTTTGTACATTCGGATGAGGAAGTGCTGGATGATAAATACAACCTGAAGAAGGGTCTTATTTAGCAGGTAGATATACTGTCTGTACCTCTCAAACTAATGAGGCAAACTAATGAGGCATCTCTGGAGGGTGTGGCTCTATTGTCAAAAGGGTTTAGGAAGTAGCAGTTAGGCCCTACCTACCACATTTGATCAATAATTACATCGCTTGTCAATTTAATAAAGTAATACTGTTTATCTAGCTTTTTCTGTTTGTTATTGGTTTTACTCATCTTTGTATTTTGTTTTTTGGATGAAAGTGAAAATTTTATGATTAATTTCTGTTAATGATTGTATTATATATACGTTTTGTTTTTCATTTCATTGGATTTAAGTAAAATGTAACATTTGCACACAATGTTAAAGGGCCTTCTTTGGGGAGTGTAGAGAAAAGAAAGCAATGAATAAGAGATTTCGGTAGCACTTTACATTAAAGCACAGAATAAATGGTAGTAACATGATAATAATGTGGAAACCTACATCTACTGTATTTACTACTTCTCTGGATAACCATGTTCATTTCCTGGGAAAAGATATGTTAAAAACAAATGCAAGAACCATAAGCTACCATTATGGAATCATCTTGTCTACCCATCGCTGTTATATTCTTGAATTTGATGGCAAGAGCCGAACCCACAAACAGAGCCGAAAACAGATCAAGACAAAAATTAATCATCCAGCAGCTTTGAATAACCAACTTATCACACTCTTGAGCTGTGGTTATGCAGCTAGCTATATCTTGTTTCCAGTAACTACCGTTTCACATTTCCTTAGAAAACCAAAGAAACATATTAACCACATTTTCCCACTGCTATTGATTCTAGGCTCAACATCTGCGTCGGAACATGCACATTGAAGCAAATAGCTTGAAAACAGAGAATAGGTGATCTTACAATCTTATTGTTCCGCTTCTGATGGGATTATATCAAGCACAATTTTCACAAATAACAATAGATGATCTTATAGTAAAGAAATGCAATGTTTTGGGGGGTTTAAGTAACCTTTATTCATAGAAAACAGCACGGAATTGTAAAACGTTTTTTTACAATAATTTTGCAGAACCTTTGTTGTTGTAACCTTTCGTTCACGAAGGCAGCGATTATTAAATCCATCCTCATCTGAAAGGATATGGTAATTTTGAGCAACTTGGTTAATTTGAGCAGGCTTTGTTACTCAAAGAAAATGTCACTCTTCATAAAAGCTGTATCAATGTAAAAAAACAACATTGTATTAATGTAAAAAAGCACAAGTAAATGATTTCACGCATAGACCAATTTGTCTGCTCAATAAGCACTCAGCATTTAGTTCTTTAAAGCAAAAATAAAAGCTGGATTTTCTATTATTCATTGATCATTTAATTAACATATGAAATATTACGTTAGAAAACAAACTCTTATTTCTTGAGAGAAATTATACTTCAATACAAGAAAAGTTACTAAATATTATATTGGATAATGATACATATTTAGAACTCATTGGCCTACATATTTAATAATGACATATGTAGGTAAATATAATATTTAGGTAAATATTTTTGTATAAATGAAATACCGTTTTTTTTGAAAATAATTTAGGCCTACCAAAATGACATATTGCAGTGCAACTTTAATAACCAAGTCTAAATTAAAATAATAATTTATCTACCTTCAAGATTTGCTCTGCTTATTTATCAGAAAACATAACCTTTATTCATGTGTCTGCAGTGGATAGCTACCACATAAGGAGGGAAACAATACACCATATACAAAATTAAATGTGCTGCAATTAATGTCATATTTGGCAGTTGAAGCTATTGGAAGACATGGAAATCTATGTCTCACAATATTGTAGCGTCTAAAAAATAAAGCAGGAAAAATAAAAGCAATACAAATGAAATGTTAGACCTCAATGGGATGTAAAATCCATGTTATTCCCAGCCCACTACAACTCTATCTATAACTCTATCCATACTGGGGTGGGGGGTGGGGGTATCCTTTCAATGAATGTGTCTGCAGGTGCTGGGTCCTTTTCTCACGCTCCTGTGGTGCAGCAGGACAGAGATCCCACAGCAGTACACCATGCTCTTCACTATCATCACTGTGTAAACCACAGAGGCCAGGTTCAGACTAAACGTTGACTGAAAGGAATCTGGGGAAGAGAAAAGAGTAAGGATTCAATCTGACTGCTGGTTACAGGCATTGTGGTTTTTAAACACATTTTCCTATTAAGTCGACATATGCAACATTTACCGTGGATGGCATCTCGGCAAACACAGGAAATGTGCTGCAATTGTAGCATCTAAAACCATGAACAGATTATCTATCCGATCGTGTTTTGTTAGCTATACTCCACTTAGGGCGATACAATTTTTTTTTTAAAGTTCCATGCGACTCGCGCTGCAGCATCACAATACCTGGTACCCTGGTACTGGTTCTTTGACACGCTACTCACGCAGGTCCAGGAGTCTTTTCAGCAGTGGCATGTATTCATGGATGCCAAGGGAAGCCAAATTATTTATTTTTCATCTTTCTCTGTTTCATAATTTTCAATTCTCAAGAGGCTGAATGTATCTCACATGAGAAAGCATCCGAGCGAGCAAAACAGCGCCCCTCTGTCTCTCTACGTGTAGGCCATCTATTTGATGCTGTCTGGTCCAAACCAGTCTGACATTGTTGCCGCCCGTAGCATTGAAGGCAAGGGAAGCCAGCAAGCATCTGGCCTCCCTTGACAAAAAAAGTATAAAAAATTAGCAAATCAGCATTGAGCTAAACTGAGCGAGCTAAACTGTGAATGGACCTGGCATACCAAAAAAAAAGTGTCAAGGGAAGCCAGCTTGGATTTTGCAACACTCCTATCAAATCCCATTGAGAGCATATGTCATTGACAGAAAAACTAGAATTGTTGCATCTCATTGTATATTATTATAATTTTTTGTCATTTAGCAGACACTCTTATCCAGAGCGACTTACAGGAGCAATTAGGGTTAAGTGCCTTGCTTAAGGGCACATCAACAGATTTTTCACCTAGTCGGCTCGGGGATTAGAACCAGCGACCTTTCGGTTACTGGCACAACGCTCTACCCACTAAGCTACCTGCCGTGTTGTTGCCCTTTCCTAAATTAGCCATGGATGGAGATAGGGATTTGGATCTCTGTAATGGTCAATGATTATAACGGCGATTCTGATCCAACCATTAATTCAGACATTTTTGTGCCTCTGGCCTGAGAGGATGGAAGGTCAATATGTAGCTAGATGTAGAAGGCTAATGTTAACTAGCTAACGTTGCCCATTAATTCAAGTTCGGCTAGCGAGCAAGCATTTTAGCAGGTGGCCTAGGACAACAAAAAACAAAAGCATGCACTGTATGACAGAGTGATAGACCATTTGTAAACATGAAAGAGAGGAGGATGGCATTGGTGTTTCTCTACAAGTAGGGTGAGTCAACATGTTTTTCTACTTGCACGAACGCGCACGCACACACACACACACACACACACACACACACACACACACACACACAGAGAAAACAGAACTATAGACAGCCACATCATATTTAGCTTACGTTGATTGGACTAAATCGTTTTTGGTACCTTTTAGTTGTCACTGCATAAGACTAAGCAGAGGTGATTTGATGATGTTGAAAATGTTGAAGTTGAAATGGTGCTGGAATAGTGGAGGCAGCTCCTGTTTTCTTTGTGACTTGCGGTAACTCTCTGTGATTTTAAATCAATAGCTGTTTAGTGGTCCGAAAATTTCGGAAACATTAACTTGCTTGACCATGCTGTAGGTCATGTACAGTGGGGAAAAAAGTATTTAGTCAGCCACCAATTGTGCAAGTTCTCCCACTTAAAAAGATGAGAGAGGCCTGTAATTTTCATCATAGGTACACGTTAACTATGACAGACAAAATGAGATTTTTTTTCTCCAGAAAATCACATTGTAGGATTTTTAATGAACTTATTTGCAAATTATGGTGGAAAATAAGTATTTGGTCAAAAACAAAAGTTTCTCAATACTTTGTTATATACCCTTTGTTGGCAATGAAACAGGTCGAACGTTTTCTGTAAGTCTTCACAAGGTTTTCACACACTGTTGCTGGTATTTTGGCCCATTCCTCCATGCAGATCTCCTCTAGAGCAGTGATGTTTTGGGGCTGTCGCTGGGCAACACGGACTTTCAACTTCCTCCAAAGATTTTCTATGGGGTTGAGATCTGGAGACTGGTTAGGCCACACCAGGACCTTGAAATGCTTCTTACGAAGCCACTCCTTCGTTGCCCGGGCGGTGTGTTTGGGATCATTGTCATGCTGAAAGACCCAGCCACGTTTCATCTTCAATGCCCTTGCTGATGGAAGGAGGTTTTCACTCAAAATCTCACAATACATGGCCCCATTCATTCTTTCCTTTACACGGATCAGTCGTCCTGGTCCCTTTGAAGAAAAACAGCCCAAAAGCATGATGTTTCCACCCCCATGCTTCACAGTAGGTATGGTGTTCTTTGGATGCAACTCAGCATTCTTTGTCCTCCAACCACGACGAGTTGAGTTTTTACCAAAAAGTTATAGTTTGGTTTCATCTGACCATATGACATTCTCCCAATCCTCTTCTGGATTATCCAAATGCACTCTAGCAAACTTCAGACGGGCCTGGACATGTACTGGCTTAAGCAGGGGGACACGTCTGGCAGTGCAGGATTTGAGTCCCTGGCGGCGTAGTGTGTTACTGATGGTAGGCTTTGTTACTTTGGTCCCAGCTCTCTGCAGGTCATTCACTAGGTCCCCCCGTGTGGTTCTGGGATTTTTGCTCACCGTTCTTGTGATCATTTTGACCCCACGGGGTGAGATCTTGCATGGAGCCCCAGATCGAGGGAGATTATCAGTGGTCTTGTATGTCTTCCATTTCCTAATAATTGCTCCCACAGTTGATTTATTCAAACCAAGCAGCTTACCTATTGCAGATTCACTCTTCCCAGCCTAGTGCAGGTCTACAATTTTGTTTCTGATGTTCTATGACAGCTCTTTGGTCTTGGCTATAGTTGAGTTTGGAGTGTGACTGTTTGAGGTTGTGGACAGGTGTCTTTTATACTGATAACAAGTTCAAACAGGTGCCATTAATACAGGTAACGAGTGGAGGACAGAGGAGCCTCTTAAAGAAGAAGTTACAGGTCTGTGAGAGCCAGAAATCTTGCTTGTTTGTAGGTGACCAAATACTTATTTTCCACCATAATTTGCAAATAAATTCATTAAAACTCCTACAATGTGATTTTCTGTATTTTCTTTTCTCAATTTGTCTGTCATAGTTGACGTGTACCTATGATGAAAATGACAGGCCTCTCTCATATTTTTAAGTGGGAGAACTTGCACAATTGGTGGCTGACTAAATACTTTTTTCCCCCACTTTAACTGTCTGTTAAATGCAATATGCTTTGTGGACTTCACTGGACAGAGGTTAAACTCCGGTTTTGTGATAAAACAAAGGTGTGGTTGAATTTATTTATTATTTATTTACATCTTATTGTCTCAGCCTTTAAGCCTATATATCACGGCTGCAAAGCATATGAATTAACAGGTTATAAAGCAAACAACGCAATTATCACAACACATAGGTTGTAATATGGAATTTGTTGGGGGGTCGGGGGGGGGGGGGGGGGGGGGCTTGGCTTGATTGTACCCACGCACCGCTACTGCATTTCAGCCCGGGTTAGTTTGCGTTTCACACATACTTTATTCTGGTGTTGTATTTACACAAGGTATTTCATTTGTATATTTTTAATACATCTGCAAAAATTTCTACTGTTTTCGCTTCATCATTATGGGGTATTATGTGTGGATTTAAGGGGGGTGTTTAATTTAATGAGTTTTAGACTAATGCTGTAACGTAACAAAATGTGGAAAAAGTAAAGGGGTCTGAATACTTTCCGAATGCACTGTATGTGAAAGCGCCCTTAAAGGTAATTTCCAATTGAGCAGAAATAAGCATGAATTTTACCATGAATGTGTTCTCCAAAAGGTGCAATGGTGACAAAGCGCAATCGGATTTAATACCTGTCTAAATCGGTTCATTTATCCAACTTTTTCTGTTTTTGAATTGACCCCAACCCTGCATGAAATACACATAAATTCTACCGTCGGTAAGATGCAGAGTCAGTGGCTCCTGCGTGTCATTTCTGAACAGACAGGTTGGTGCAGCCATGGTGGTTGGAGGAGCTTCAGTTGGTTTATCTGAGAATGAGATGGAAAAAGATTATATTAAATAATATTCCTACGCAATTACCAAGTGTGAGTCCAATTTTTATGGACTTTATTTTTTTCTTGGAAAAGGTAATAGGCCTATGTCCTTCTTACAATGTTGAATACATGATAACCTACTCATATAAATATATTACATACATATTACATTAATAATGATGTATGAAAAAACTAATAGGCCTACATATTAATGTAAAACTATTTAAATGTTTGGCTTCACCTTTTGGTATGTCCCCTTCATGCTCCACAGAACAGATGTAATTGTTCCTGTACGTCTTCTCTATATCAATGATGATCATACTGGTCGTCTGTCCTTCCTCCCTCTGCTCCAGGACTTCCGTCTCTGCTTTGGGCACCTCTACTGTTTGGCCGTTTTCATCTTCCATCTTCCATGAGATCTTGACCAAGTCTGGAAACATGTCTCTAGCCAGACATAGCAGGGTGGTCTTCCCATTTGAATCAGGGTTGGACGCTGGGTAGACCGTCACTTTGGGTTTACGTACGTGATTGTTGTCTGATTGTCAAGAGAAACAATAACATTTGCAGTCTTCTTTGGAGGGCCATCACACACAAGTTTTCAGACTTCTGTTGTCAAGATGAATTGTGATGTCCCACACCATTTGTTTCATATCCAGCTTTAATAACATACATAAATAAACTACATGTACCATTTTTTTACCCATAACAGCTATCCTTTATGGAATATCTTATTTCAACATAATGTAAATCCTAACATTCAATGTCATTTCAATCAAAAGATTCTTAGCTCAGTAAACAGTTCAACAAATTACTTTAAATGTATATCACAAATTTAACTGAGGGTGTATATCTCTAAGACTAAGGACATGCAATATATTGCAAATTGTGCATATGGCTTCCTTGAAAATCAGAATAATCAATTGTACATGCTAATAACAAACTTCAAAATCTAAATAAATATAAATATGTAACATGGGTTGTTCAGGAATAGTGCATATTTCTATATTACTGCAGGATGTTTTCTCAATTATTTTGGAAAGTGATTAGACAAATATAATAATTATTAAGGACTACTGCTTTGTTTACCTAATGAAAAATAATGGATCTCTTACCTGTCACATAAAGTCTTGTGCCAGAGCCAAATACAACCCTACACAGTGAAAAGTCCCTTGTCAAAAAGTAGTCTGCACTGTGATAATGGCTTGGAGGGGTGGGGAAAATTCTCTACAAGTAGAATTCTTATTCAAAAAGAAGAATTCTTATTCAAAAAGATGTATACTGTATTTGTCTGCATATCTAAGCATACCTCTTATTTTTTTCTTTACATATCTGAGTGGCATTTAATTTATTTATTTTTTATTTCACCTTTATTTAACCAGGTAAGCCAGTTGAGAACAAGTTCTCATTTACAACTGCGACCTGGCCAAGATAAAGCAAAGCAGTGCGATAAAAACAACAACACAGAGTTACATATGGGGTAAAACAAAACATAAAGTCAAAAATACAACAGAAAATATATATACAGTGTGTGCAAATGTAGCAAGTTATGGAGGTAAGGCAATAAATAGGCTATAGTGCAAAATAATTACAATTTAGAATTAACACTGGAATGATAGATGTGCAAGAGATGATGTGAAAATAGAGATACTGGGGTGCAAAGGAGCAAAATAAATAACAATATAGGGATGAGGTAGTTGGGTGGGCTAATTTCTGATGGGCTGTGTACAGGTGCAGTGATCGGCAAGGTGCTCTGACAACTGATGCTTAAAGTTAGTGAGGGAGATAAGAGTCTCCAGCTTCAGAGATTTTTGCAATTCGATCCAGTCATTGGCAGCAGAGAACCGGAAGGAATGGCGGCCAAAGGAGGTGTTGGCTTTGCGGATGACCAGTGAGATATACCTGCTGGAGCGCAGACTACGGGTGGGTGTTGCTATGGTGACCAATGAGCTAAGATAAGGCGGGGATTTGCCTAGCAGTGATTTATAGATGGCCTGGAGCCAGTGGGTTTGGCGACGAATATGTAGTGAGGACCAGCCAAGAAGAGCGTACAGGTCACAGTGGTGTGTAGTGTATGGGGCGTTGGAGACAAAATGGATGGCACTGTGATAGACTACATCCAATTTTCTGAGTAGAGTGTTGGAGGCTTTTTTGTAAATGACATCGCCGAAGTCAAGGATCGGTAGGATAGTCAGTTTTTCGAGGGCATGTTTGGCAGCATGAGTGAAGGAGGCTTTGTTGCGAAATAGGAAGCCAATTCTAGATTTAACTTTGGATTGGAGATTCTTAATTTGAGTCTGGAAGGAGAGTTTACAGTCTAACCAGACACCTAGGTATTTGTAGTTGTCCACATACTCTAGGTCAGACCCGTCGAGAGTAGTGATTCTAGTCGGGTGGGCGGGTACCAGCATCATTCGATTGAAGAGCATGCATTTAGTTTTACTAGTGTTTAAGAGCAGTTGGAGGCTACTGAAGGAGTGTTGTATGGCATTGAAGCTCGTTTGGAGGATTGTTAACACAGTGTCCAGTGAAGGGCCAGATGTATACAAAATGGTGTCGTCTGCGTAGAGGTGGATCTGAGAGTCACCAGCAGCAAGAGCGACATCATTGATATACACAGAGAAAAGAGTCGGCCCAAGAATTGAACCCTGTGGCACCCCCATAGAGACTGCCATAGGTCCAGACAACAGGCCCTCCAATTTGACAAATTGAACTCTATCTGAGAAGTAGTTGGTGAACCAGGCGAGGCAGTCATTTGAGAAACCAAGGCTATTTAGTCTGCCAATAAGAATGCGGTGGTTGACAGAGTCGAAAGCCTTGGCCAGGTCGATGAAGACGGCTGCACAGTACTGGCTATTATCGATCGCAGTTATAATATCGTTTAGGACCTTGAGCGTGGCTGAAGTGCACCCATGTCCAGCTCGGAAACCGGATTGCATAGCAGAGAAGGTACGGTGGGATTCGAAATGGTCGGTGATCTGTTTGTTAACTTGGCTTTCAAAAACTTTCGAAAGGCAGGGCAGGATGGATATAGGTCTGTAACAGTTTGAATCTAGAGTGTCACCCCCTTTGAAGAGGGGGATGACCGCGGCAGCTTTCCAATCTCTCGGGATCTCAGACGTTATGAAAGAGAGGTTGAACAGGCTAGTAATAGTGATTGCGACAATTTCGGCAGGTAGTAGGGGGGGGGGGGGGGGGGGGGGGGGGGGGGGGGGGGCATGGGCAAGTTGCAGCGAAGGGTGCAGAGCTGGTGGCCGGGGGTAGTGGTAGCCAGGTGGGAAGCATGGCCAGCCGTAGCAAAATGCTTGTTAAAATTCTTGATTATTGTAGATTTATCGGTGGTGATAGTGTTTCCTAGCCTCAGTGCAGTGGGCAGCTGGGAGGAAGTGCTCTTATTCTCCATGGACTTTACAGTGTCCCAAATTTTTTTGGAGTTAGTGCTACAGGATGCAAATTTCTGTTTGAAAAAGTTAGCCTTTGCTTTCCTAACTGCTTGTGTATATTGGTTTCTAACTTCCCTGAAAAGTTGCATATCGCGGGGGCTATTTGATGCTAATGAGGTACGCCACAGGATGTTTTTGTGCTGGTCAAGGGCAGTCAAGTCTGTGGAGAACCAGGGGCTTTATCTTTTCTTAGTTCTGTATTTTTTGAATGGGGCATGTTTATTTAAGATTGAGAGGAAATTACTTTTAAAGAACAACCAGGCATCCTCTACTGACGGAATGAGATCTACATCCATCCAGGATACCTGGGCCAGGTCAATTAGGAAGGCTTGCTCGCTAAAGTGTTTTAGGGAGCGTTTGACAGTGATTAGAGGTGGTCGTTTGACCGCGGACCGTTACGGACGCAGGCAATAAGGCAGTGATCGCTGAGATCCTGGTTGAAGACAGCGGAGGTGTATTTAGAGGGTAAGTTAGTCAGGATGATATCTATGAGGGTACCCATGTTTACAGATTTAGGGTTGTACCTGGTAGGTTCGTTGATAATTTGTGTGAGATTGAGGGCATCTAGTTTCGATTGTAGGATGGCCGGGGTGTTAAGCATATCCCAATTTGGTCACCAAGCAGTACGAACTCTGAGGATAAATGGGGGGCAATCAATTGGTGTCCAGGGCACAGCTGGGGGCTGACATATGGTGTCCAGGGCACAGCTGGGGGCTGAGGGGGGTCTGTAGCAAGCGACATCAGTGAGAGACTTATTTCTGGAAAGGTGGATTTTTAGAAGTAGAAGCTCAAACTGTTTGGGCACAGACCTGGATAGTATGATAGAGCTCTGCAGGCTATCTCTACAGTAGATTGCAACTCCACCTCCTTTGGCAGTTCTATCTAGACGGAAAATGTTATAGTTGGGGATGGAAATTTCAGAATTTTTGGTGGCCTTCCTAAGCCAGGATTCAGACACGCAGTGAATAACTCAAATTTAGGAAGGAGACTTCTGATATTAACATGCAGAAAACCAAGGCTTTTACGGTTACAGAAGTCAACAAATGATAGCTCCTGGGGAGTAGGAGTGATACTTGGGGCTGCAGGGCCTGGGTTAGCCTCTACATCACCAGAGGAACAGAGGAGGAGTAGAATAAGGATACGGCTAAAGGCTTTAAGAACTGGTCTTCTAGTGCGTTGGGTACAGAGAATAAAGGGGGCAGATTTCCGGGCGTTGTAGAAAAGATTCAGGGCATTATGTACAGAAAAGGATGTGGAAGGATATGAGTACAGTTGAGGTAAACCTAAGCGTTGGGTAACAATGAAAGAGATAGCATCACTGGAGACACCAATTGAGCCGGTCTCGGCGTGTATGGGGGGTGGAACAAAGGAACTATTTGAGGCAGTTTGAGAGTGACTTGGGTTTCTACAGCATAAAGCAATCACAGGTGTTATTAGAGAGAGCTAAGACAACAACTGGTAATGGCGATATAGTTTGGGCTGAGGCTAAACAGAATAAACAGGACAGGGTACCGTGTAAAGGAACAGTCCAGCAGACATCAGCTGTGCAGCTGAGTGATCATAAGGTCCAGTGAACAGCAATATGTGAGTCCGAGAGCAGTTCGAAATTGGTGCTACAGCACAGGCTAGCAGGAAGCACAGTTGTAGTTTGCGTGTGCTAGTGGGCCGGGGCTAGCAGATGGATCTTCGTGGTCGAAGTCGTAACGGGAAGCCCGTTGAAACCACATCAGACGATTACGTCGGCAAACCAGTCGTGTTGGATCGGTGGGGCTCAGTGTCAACACTAGGAGGTCCCGTCCGGTTGACAGAGAGGTAGATAGCCGGGAGATTGGCCTGGCTCGAGGCTAGCTGGAGGCTAACTGGTCTAGGGTCCAGTGATTCCGGCAGAAAATCCGAAATGCTCTGGGTCGATAGCACGCTGTGCAGACTGGCCGACGAATTGTCCAGGCTAGAGCTAGAGCTGGCTGGTGGATAGTGCAGGCCACGGACAATGGTGACGA